TCTGACGGCACGATGGGGAGGCTCGCGGGGTGTCATGGGACGTTTAGGGATCGTTTAGGCTTTTGGCGGGAGATTTAGGTCATTCTAGGTCGGTCGGTCTTCGTGTTCGTCCACTTTAGTGGTGTGAACAGGGCCTAATTGTTATTGTAGATGTGCCAAACAGAAGACTTTGACTGCTAAAACAACGAGTTCTGTGTTGTTGAAATGGTCTGGAAATTTGAATAACAAAAACAGTGTTTGTAATCAGATAACTTCCCTATCTTGTCTTTTTTATTGAATGAGATAATCCCAAACTTTTCCCAGTGTTTCTACGACAATTTGATGCTTCGACAGGCCATTTCCAAGTTACCTTTTTGCCTCTGTGTCAAAACGAGGCTTCTTATAAAACTATTCATATGAAATCTAAATGTGTTTCGCTAACACGTTCAGTTTCATGCAAATCAAACTCATTTTCACATTAAAAGTTTTGCGCAAGGACTTATTTTGAAACACTGGCAAAAGGCCTATTGCATACAAGCCATTCTTGATCCGAATCAGGCGCCTGAATACGCTGTGAGCAGGTCCCTTTGATTTTCCTTGAAAGAGGATCGACTAGACCTCTGCTCGGAGGGTAGTGCCTGAAAGACGGATAAACCAATCACTTACCCTGAGGATCTGAACGTGTCAATTCTAAGATCGTCCGGTCTGATTACTACATCTACCTATTAAAAGCGAGAATACAACAACCATCATTCTAAAAGAAAACTGAGTCAGTTTCTGGAGACCCACGCTAACTATGATAAAACGAGGTCATCAATTGGGCTTGTGATTTTGATTTGTAAAGTAAGGCAAGCTGTCTTTTGTATGAAATACTCCAACAACAAGAAATAGCAACCTCGTCCTTCAAACCTACATATACATGTAGGACCATGGACTGCTGAGGAAACAGCTTCACGGCAGAACAGCCCTCATTCGTGATATGATGAAGACTAGCAGTACGCAGTTAAAACTTTATGATCACAAGTGACTATCACATGAGACGAATTTTACTACTATTACTATGAACAACAAACGATTGACCACAAAATACCGGCTCAGCGCTCAGGCCAAATTTGTTAGATCATTTGATTTGTAGAATAACCCTATAACTCTTCTGAATATGTAGTGACCATTTTATCGTTTTCAGGTGGAGGGGTGGGGATGTTGCACACACTACAGAAACAACTCTTAAACACCCCGTGGCCCCGTGGGGGGCTGGTTGGATTTTGCCGAAATTTTCCCACTGTTTATCTTTAACAACGCTGACCACCCTTGTTTCTTGTAACTTATCATTAGGGTCTTTATAGGTCCGAGTTTTTTTAACCATTGAAAGAAACAATAATTCTGAGTTTTTCTTAGTCGTTCTTGTACAATGTAAAAACTGACTTTTGAAGACATCAAGGCTTTCTAGTACATTGCAACTCCATTAACATGACCCCTTGACACAAAAGCCAAACAATTACAAAGGATTGTCAACTACATGTATGGGAAACAGCTAAACATACTCACAAAATTTCCCCAGAAGTAATATATCTCTCACCTCTGTGGGTTGCGGTAACACTGCCACAGTCATTGTACTAGTGTGAACACGACCCATTGTTTCAGTCAATGGAACTCTTTGCACTCTGTGAACACCAGTTTCAAACTAACAAAAATTATTAAACATTTGATTACACAGTTGATTACAGGTACAATGAATGATACATTATTGCTCGCGTGTATCTTTATTTCCCAATTGTTTATTAAAGCATGCATGGCAACATTGTGTTGTTACAATAATACATGTATTATATAGTTAGTACACTACCCTTGGGAAAGTGGGCATGAAATAATTATATTATAGTAAATGTCTTTATGTTACATTAGCCGTTAGAAACTCCAAAATTCTTGTAGATTATATCCCTAGAAAGTATCAGAATTGAAACGCCTAAGTTTTACCTTCATTGTGCCAAACACACCAGTACCAACCAGACTTACAGAAGCTTCCTGTAAATTAAACATACTCGACTTCAGCAGGATAGTGACTTATATCTCAAGCATTGGGGTACATGTAAAAGACTAAAATCCACCAGTATAAAACGAGATATATGTATGTTATTTGCCTGTTTGGAGGTTCATATCAATGATGAAAAACTGTGACCGAGTTCTTTTGAAGCCTGAAGCCATACAGTAGTTCTTCACTATAAAAACTGACCATAGCCTGTAAATAACTAAACTTATTTTCTGCTTTCTTTCTCAAACCACTTCCATCATTGTTGACCTTTTCCACACACACACACATCACATGCACGTTACTGTGACCATGGTCAGAGGCAGTAAAATCTGGACTACTTTAAAAACCAATCAGGTTGCAGGTATTATTACCATGCCCCCGTGAACAAATAAATATAGAGTCACTTGGGTATGATATTTGTAGCAAAAAATGGTTGTTTCACATAATTTGACTCAAGGATACTGAATTGTTTATATAAAAAGAACTGTCACTTTAATAGGAGGTGTTTCGTACATGAAGTAGTTCATAAATTCAAATATTACCTTAATTCCACCATTCTCACTTTTACTGATATTTAGAACTTCAAACTTCCAGTTCTTGTATGCTGCAAACCTGGAGTGAAAAAAAGTGAAAAAAGTGAAGGAAAGCTCTGTTCCAAATTATCCTAGAAAATTTCATCTCAACAGAGTAGTCAAACTCTGTATGACTAGATCACCACCAATATTTACTGTAGATTCTGTGTATTCAGTGGCAAAAAGACAGTGCCACTCTGCCTAGATATTAGTCTGTCACAGGTAATTTAAACTCTGCCCACTACAACAATNCGTGATTGCAATTTCATTCAGCAAATTCGCTTGCTTCGCTTTCAAATTTTTCTTTCAACTAATTTTACGAACGGGGCGCATGTCATGTGATTTCCCACTTGTTGTTGTTTTTGTCACATCGACTTCCAGTCATTTTGTAAAATTAAAATCCAATAAAATTAAGCTATATTTCCAAGAATACAAAAGCACCGAATTTAATAAAACAATTATTCAATGATGATGAAACAGCACCGAGACCCAGGTTCAGAGTTATGATATCATTGTTTATAATTTATTGCTAGCTGATTTACATGAAAATAAATCTGTAGGCAGAACTCATTTCCATCTGTCGTGAATAGTTTCGCACATTCAAAGACTTTGACATAGAGGCAAAAAAACTTGGAAATGGCCTATTTAACAATGTTAATGCTATGAGCATAGCAGGCTCTTCCAATCAGTTGTCAGACTCCCAAGTGTAGACTTATCTTCATCACATCTGGATCTTCTTTGTGTTTCCAAGCTGTTTTAATTTGTACCAGCTTTGTAGAGGCTGCTTCAGGTTATTCCCCCCATCCCACCCAAACCTTCATTTTTCCTTTCTTTGTTTCAATCAGTGTTAACAGGCGCCTGGAATAGGGACTCATGGCTGGATGGCCGGAATTTGCCAGCCATTGGGACAGCACTCTATCTAGCTAGGGGCTAGCTGGCCACGTTGGAAGCCTCTAGACACTCCAGACACACACCGTTCATTTCATAAGTGAGATGGCTGGTTAAGAGGTCAAAGACTGTCTGACAGGAGAAGTATGGAATGTACTCACAGAGACATAATGTCTACCCAGGCCACAGAAAGATGTTATCTTAAAATGTGCCAAGTACAATGAAAAATTAAAGTTATTTTAATTATTATTTTTTCTTAAGTTTCTAAACAAATGATGCTATCAAAATTGGAAAAAACTTCTAAATTACATACAGTGGAACCATCCAATGCCGTCACTTATTAAAAATACCTGAAGCTCCTTTATTTCACTGAGGGCTTGTGACTTTTCCTCTTCAGCAAATTTACCCAGTTCTCCTCCAATCTCTGATATTAACTCATCTAAGTCTTTGATTTCCTGTAAACAACACAAAGGAGTCAATCAAGTTGTTTTGTCCTCAGAAAAAAAGAAAACTTTACGCATATACATGTACACTAGCCAAAGATAAGTACTGATACATGCTGCAATTTATGGCTGGAAACAAGACGCTTTACGCAGCATANAAGCTAGAGTTGCACTCGGCTATCGCCTTGTGTGACTCTTACGCTTCTTTCGTGCTTAGCAACCTCCCGCACGCATCCATAACTCAATAGTACATGCTATGGCGTTTACCATTAATTTTGTTAAATCTCGCTTACTTTTATAAACAAATGATGCCGCTTAATGAAGGGGATACTGATCCATCTCAAGCACGACAACCTGATGTTTTGTAAACCGGCACTACCGCATAGCTGACAGACCCGTCTATTTACAGGGCTTCTAGTATAATATGGTCGTTTCGCCAACGTCGGTAAATCAGGTGAAAAAGCAGGCGAAACGACAGCTTTAATATATACCCTAGAGTTAAACCTTACCTTTAATGAGTAACCGCTGTGTTCGAAAAGCTGGACTACCCTGAATGACAGCTACTTTCAATCCTTTTAAAATTTGACGAAACATTCCAACTAAGATAAGGAAATAAATGATCTTTCGCTACATTTTCAGACAAACAAAATCCTGTTACTCGTCCGCCATATTGGATTTTATAATGAAAATCCGCTGGATGTAATGCACGCATCTCCTGTTCCTCGACCCAGCTCTCCCTTGATGATGTGTCTGCTTTGCATGCTGTGACGCATTGCTCCGCGTGGTGGGGTAACTATAAATTAGCCAGTGAGGGAACGTGTGTGAAATATCTGAATTCTCTTCCGTGTAGCGGCGTTTATGCTCGTCTTTTATTTACGCTTTGATAGTTTAAGAGTTCGGCTGATGATACATAATTGAAAAGAGCTTGGTAAGCATTAATATGCGGAAAAGCGAAGCCGTAAAACAACTAACTTCGTGCCACGAAGTACAAGGCGACATGGAACACAAGAATTTTGAGTTCGTACCAGACACGGTCGGCGATAAAATCTCTAGTTCTTCAACTGATGAAATTTCACAGGTATATAGGACTTTTTTTCGTTTACAGACGCTTGTTAAAGTAATTTTGGGGAGCTTACAAGCTTGTTGAGCACAAAACTCATTCTTGTACACACCGTATGTGGCTTGTTTATTCCACGTGGTCCACAGTTCGCTCATTTTACTCGAAGAAATGGAAATAACGGGAAACATTAGTCTTTTAACTGCTAAATCACCGAATTTTCAACATAAGTTCAATTCTTTTAAATTATAAAGTAAATGTTGTTTTAGGGATGGTTTCTGAAATTAATCGTTTCTGGAAAAGGGCCATACGAAGACCCTTTGATCATAAATTGGTTAAAACCCACTAGCCTTTTATGATGCCCTCGTACCGAGCTTCGTTTTTATTGTTTCATAAGCCTTTGGTAGTACAGACTGTGTCATTTTGTATGGTATCTTTGACTGTTATATGAGAATTATCCAAGTTAGTGTTTAACCTTGAAATATTCTTTTTGTACACAGCTTGTAGAGATTGCACCTTTTAATAATTTTAAGTTTGCTTGTTTTATTTTTCTCTTGGGAATAGCACAACATGGGAAGCAATGGCAGTCTTCAAAGTGACTTAGAAGAAGGAGAATTAATTGAAGGTATATCATAAAGCAGTGTGCAGTCATGACTGTGTATCACTTAAGGGTGGTTTTTACTGGCGACGCAGTCTGAGCAGGAGTCAGTCATAGTTAGGGTCGAAAGAGTGCTTATGACACAGTGAAATTTGAAGATCGGAGTCATATGCGGAGTTATAAGCTCAATGGAATCTGAGTTTGAAGAATCAATGTTTCCATTTCTTTAGATTCCATTTACGACTCAGTCGCTTATGATCCAGTGAAAACTAGAATGTTGGAGTCGAAGCAGAAGCAGAAGAACTAACCAGTCACAAGGCTGTGAATCAAGAATGAAGCATTGTGATTGGATTATTCTTCCACTTTTGCTTCCGACTTCAACAAAGTAGTTTTCACTTGATCATAAGTTACAGTGACATAAGTGGAATTGGTACTCTGCCTCTGATTCCACTGGTTTGATTTTCACTAGATACATGTTCATAGTATCACTCTGCTTGTCTTATTGCGACTCGCACAGACTAGGACTCTGACGCTAGTGAACATCAGCCTTTAGGTCTCAAGAGGTCCAGGGGCTTTAACCAGACTTGCCAATCAATGACATCAATGCATTCAATAAGTAACCAATGGGTAATTGATAGGTAGTCAGTTGATTAGTCATAGATTATCGCGAACGATCATTTAATTTATTTTACTATGCACACTGTAAAGTGCTTTTGGACATTTACAGAAAGAACACTATATAAATGACTATTATTATTATTATTATTATTATTATGTTATTTATTATTAGTAGTAGTAGTATTAGTATTAGTGTTAGTATTAGTATTAGTATTAGTATTAATTGTATAGGCCACAAAATTTTCAGTCATCAATTAGTCATAATTTGTTTAGTCATTGATGGCATTTATTAGACATTGATATAATTTTGTGGCTAAACAAACCTTACTAAAACAAAGATAAACAAATAGAAACAACTTCCATGAATGAATGATGGACCAGTACTTTCCCCATTTAACCTTGCATGTACAATTTCTCTTTGCCTATTATTAGCGTCATAAACCATTTCTGTAAAGATTTAAAAGGAAAGTTAGTTATAATAAAGAAAATGCTGAAAATGATTATTATAGATGTGCAGCATAATAGACCATGATAATAAAGGTGTAATCAATGAATAATCAAAAGGATCAGTGAATAATCAATGGCATTGATGAGTAATAGGCAGGCCACAAAATGTTTGGTCATCGATTAATAATTGATTACTCATGGTTCGTCAGTTTCTCATAGATGTCATTGATTATAATAGATTAGTTACTTCTGGTTTTAACGATGCCAATCAAAGGCTCTGACTTGATCTTAGTTTCTATCCCTAGGAATTCTTTGATTAATTTGAGGTATGGTAATATGACATGTGTACTGTCTTTCCACAAAAGCTTTGCTTTGGTGGAGGTGTTGCACAGTGTCAAAATACATTTTAGTCACCCCACCAAAAAACACTGCATAATGTCTTTTGAAATAATTTAACCAGAAAGCTTATGTTGAGTCCATCTGGAATTACATGTATCTCCATAACATAGTCACTTTTGTCTGTCTGTACAACATCTGTCAATTCAATGTTCAACTTATAGTCAATGGTGTATTTTTAATAATCTAATAGGCATTGAAGCAAATGATGTCAGTGCCTTATTGGAACAGTTCCTGGAATATGAAGAAAAACAAGGTATAGTTTGCACATCTGTTCTAGTTTAGCTCTGGTTGTGAACATATATAGGTACTAGAACTCTGCACACTGTAGGTTCACTCATTTAACACATTAGGTGCACATGTGTTCTGAAACATGTTAGCCTTTGTTATTCATATCAATCTTTCTTTTGTGATCACCATTGCTCATGGCAAACAAAAGAAGAGTCCAGCTCAAACAATAGGGTGATTAGTAAAATCACGCTCCTACTGATGTTTTTGTTGACAGGAAAATTTGAAACCTTTCGCATCAAAAAAGAGAGAAATTGTATGCCGTCATTACATGTACCTGCTAACCTCTTGTCTGTGGTTTTCAGTTTCACTGGATTGCTCATCATCGTCATTGTCTTTGCGTTCTTCCCTGTAAGTGATTAATATGAATTTTATTATTCTTCAGTTATTATCAGAATTTTTCTGAAGTTTCATTCTTGAACAAAGTGAAGATGACATGTACATTGTGTATACTGCGCCTTTCTTACATTGTACTGTGTAACAAAGTGCACAGGGCTATTTGTAATAACTTATCAATGTACCATACTGCTAAGTGAGGCACTAAAAATGCTGCTACTTGCCCACACAGTAATGTCATTTTTATGGGAACATTTTTAATTGGTGTTTAAGATATTGAAAAATAATCAAGAGAAATAAAACAAGTACTTTTTTGAAAGTATACAGGCATTTTAATTATGGGACTGCAACTCTGAGTAATTTTAAGGTCAATTAAAAAAAAAACTGCAGCAAGTTCTAGGGGAGTGTGAAGTCACTTCAGAAGTTCTTTCTCTATTCATTTATCTTCAGTAGTTTAAGGTGAAAACTCTAATCTGGTGTGACTGTTGAAACAATTTTGGAACTTGCTTATGTTGTTCAAAAAGCTCTCCCTTCAAAAAAAAAAGAAAATGTAAACTAAGGTTATGTTTTGGAGTAACGTGTTACACTGTACTGGCATACATATTAGAATTAAAGGGTTGTATATTTATATTTTACCTAGGGTATTTCTTATACAGTTGTCATTTGAAAATGCATGATTGTTCTTTTTAAAGCAAAATAACATGTTGCTTTTATTTATTTTTTTTTGTAAACTTCAGTGAGGATACGTCTCCTGAAGCCAAAGCTATTGCACTCAAGATAACTTCCGTTGTGGAGGCTCAAGATATAGATTTTGAGTTAGCAGCTGATGCAAAGAATGGTGGCCCATCTTGCCTTGATTTGGAGAGTTCTGGGAATTTACCTGAAAGTAATGAAGTGCATGGTGTAATGGACAATGGGTCGTTTAAGAATGGTGTGGAACAACTCAGGGAGAGCCTTAAAAGTGATGGGAAATCCTGTGTTGATAACCATGCAACAGATCACAATTATGCCTGCAGTGGATTTCCCACGAGGAAAGCAGCATCACAAAGACCTGAAATTAGTGGTTGTTTAGTTGCAAATGGATTCAAATCTACAAATAGTCCAAAAAAGGCTTTAGCTTCAGCCTTGGAGCACAAAAGTGAAAAGTGTATTTCTAACAGAGCTGAAATGAGTCAGTCCAGGAAAAGACAATTAAGTGCCTGCAACAAAGGGTCTACAGATAAAGAAAGAATACTTCCAAAACGCTATAGAGGGCCATACTGTGAGGATAATTCCAAAGGCGATAACAGCTCTGATGAAGATCATCATTATAACAGGAGCCGTAGCAGACTTCATAGCAGTTCTGATGAACAGAGTGATCATGAAAGAAGCCAGCACAGCAGAAAGTACAGAAGTAGCTCGGATGCAGATAAGAATCATTATAAGAGAAGTTATCGAAGGAACAGCTTATGCTCAAGTGACAGTTTTGATGAAAGAGATTGTTCCAGTTCAGATGAGGACAGTAGGCATGAAAGGAGACGCAGGTATGATCCAAGAGGCTCTAAGTCTGACTTGCATCATAAATGCTCAAGTGGTAGTGAAAGAGATTCTGACAGCCACAGGAGTCATCATAGAAGAAGACAGAGGTCTCACAGTAAAGACCACTCAGCAAAGAGAAATGATGGGAAAGAGAACAAAACGTTTCATGATATTGAACTGGAAAGGAAAATGGGTTTCAAGTTTGACCATAACATAAAGGGCACTGCAAAGGTACAGTTTTAAAAATATTTTTTGTTTTGTTTTGTTTTTCTTAACACAGTGGAGCACTGTACTGTACATGTTTAATTTGTTTTTGAACTTAAATTTCTTTTCACTGAAATTTAGAAAGCTACAAGTATAAAGTGTCAATGTTCACAGAAATATAGGAGAATCAGATTCTCCAGTTACAATTACTTGAATTAGGCTGAGAACAGGGGTTTCATTAAGGGCTGGCTGTGAGGATGAGTTTGCCTGCCTGCCTGCCTGCCTGAAAACAATCATGTTAATGTATTGTATTTAATTATAGGAAGAGAGACGTATAGTGTACATTGGGAAAATATCAGACAAGACAACTAAAGATGATGTTTGGAGACGATTTCGTCCATTTGGCCCTATTGAAAAAGTCACTGTCCACTTTCGGGACAAAGGGTGAGCAGTTAGATAAGTTATGGTAGTGCTTTGTAGTACTCTATCACTCTCAGTAACAACAATTCATCAAATAAGAACAAATGAAACCATAACCATCAGGGTTGTAGCTGAGAATCCAGCACTTAGCCAGCTCTTTAACAAGCCAGCTGGCTTTTTTAGCCTTGGTAGCTCGCAATTTTGTAGTGTTTGTATAGGCAATCACATGGTTTTGAGTGAAATTTGGAGTAAATAATAAGGATGACAACATATCATGTCGAGCTTGCACTCAGGAATCAAAACATTTTAAAACAAGCCAAACAATAAAGGAAGACACAACAATATTAGTGCCTCATGGTTCAATGTTTGAACAAAGTATACACAATGCTTTAAGAAATTAAAATGTAAAGGAGGGTTTCTGTCAATTCAAATAAATTCCCCCCTTTGAGTGTTCATCTACTTTTGCATGCACTCATACTCACTCACCATGCTCGCAATTGCTATAATTGTTGTCGAAGCCATTGCTCATACAACTAAATGATTCATACACATATGTTGTAGTCTTGGAGGTTTCAATAAATTATACATGTAGTAATTATTAAGTGTCGTCTTGTGCATTTTTCTCTTGGTAGGGACAACTATGCTTTTGTAACCTTCTTTGACCACTCCTCAGCTGCAGAAGCAATTGAAAGTGAGTTTAAAAATGCGCATTGCACTTAATTGCAAGTTTCCTAGTGATAAGTTAATTTACATATGTCGCTGCAATTGATTTTGTCAGGGGGCAATGAAGACACCCATCTTCCCGTATTGGACATTTGTTTTGGCGGAAGAAGAAAGTTTTGTGGTGGAAGTTATGTTGACTTTGGTAAGTAATGGGTGGGGATGCATTGCACATCACTAATGGCTGCTCAGAATTCCTATATCATAAACCAAGCACAAGAGCAATACTGTGAGAATATTGTCCCTAGGTCGTCCAATACAGTCCTAAGCACGCTTGGTTAATAAGAGACTTATTACATAACTGAAAATGTGTAGAAAAAATGCCACGATCACGGACTGGCAGCCGACTAGGCATGGGGCATTTTCACATGATGTTATGGTGGCCATGCATATTGGTGTTCTCAAACAGTGAAATTTCCCTCCTTTGCAAAAATATCTTAATGAACTAGTTTACTTTGCTTTTGACTTTTAGACTCAAACACCAGTTATCTTGAAGAACAAAAATACAGTCGCCCTCCATCATCTGATGAGATGGATTTTGATGCCCTGCTGAGGCTCTCACAGAAAAGTGTAAAAGGAAGAAAGGAATCTTGCAAAGGCAGATGAACATAATTGAGACAATGAATTTATTGAACATACTTATGAAGTATAATGAACTTCTAATGATATTTAACTTAACTGTTAAAGAGAAAATGAATATTAGATGTTATTTTTTGTATTGTGCTTATTACACTAAGAAACTTTCTGTTTAGCTATAATGGAAAGAAACTTAATCATTACGACGGGCTTGAACTTTCTCAGTTAACAAAATTTTGAAAGCCACAATAATAAAATTTGGAAACAATTACAAATATTTTATGATTGAGGTGTACATGTATTATCATTCATTATTGGTGACGAACGGATTGAACAATGATGGGTATAATTAGGTATCGCAATGTTGGTGTGATGTGGTAACCAAGTGTATCTCTAAAGCTACTATTGAACAATAATGGATTGAACAATGATGGTTATAATTAGGTATCACAATTGGTGTGGCCCTCTCTGCCACGCGGGATTACCCGCGGCGTCCCGTAAGAAAACGGTGTTCTTTATGCCATTGAAGAAACAGTTTATTGTCCAAGGTTGTTCCGTCAATATGGCGTGCTATGACCCTCGTTTGTTGTTTTTTGCGAGTTTATGGATCTTAACTACGTTTCTGTCCATGAACGCGCATGAAAAGAACTTGGCAATTATCTCGCGCTTGGTCAATAACCCAAATGCACTAATCACCAGACAAGTACAGCGCTTTCCATTCAACCAAAAATTTCGAAAATGTCGACACGAGGACAAATGGTATGGAAATTTCCAAGAAAAAGTTCCAGAAAATCCACAAAGTGAGAGTAGACTGTAACCAATAAGACAACTCGTTTTGCTAATAAGAAGGAAGGGAAATTTCGTTATACCTTGGAAGGTTTTCCTCTTTTCCGTAAATTCCAGAAAATGCTGTTCAATTCGTTACTGGTAGCCCTATGGAAACTCAAAGTGTAATTTTTCATCGAGTGGAAAGCGCCCGTACACTTAACATAACTACCTTAATTTGAATTTTGCAGATGTGTGGCTACCCCAACCGTACTTTATTATTAGAAGGGCAATATTTTTATTAATTAAGCATTTTGTTCATCGCTAACTTCAATATTGTTACATTGCCCTCTATACGAATGGCGTGCATGTATTCAAGTAAGAAGTGTAANTTTATGCCATTTAGGAAACAGTTTATTGTCCAAGGTTGTTCCGTCAATATGGCGTGCTATGACCCTCGTTTGTTGTTTTTTGCAAGTTTATGGACCTTAACTACGTTTCTGTCCATGAACACGCATGTAAAGAACTTGGCAATTATCCCGCGCTTGGTCAATAACCCAATGCACTAATCACCAGACAAGTATAGCGCTTTCCATTCAACCAAAAAGTTCGAATATGTCGAAACGAGGACAAAAATGGTACGGAAATTTCCAAGAAAAAGTTCCAGAAAATCCAGAAAATCCAGAAAGTGAGAGTAGACTGTAACCAATACGACAACTCGTTTTGCTAATAAGAAGAAAGGGAAATGTCGTTATACCTGGCAAGGTTTTCCTCTTCTCCGTCCGGAAACTCAAACTGTAATTTTTAAGCGAGTGGAAAGCGCCCGTACACTTAGCATAACTACCTTAATTTGAATTTTGCAGATGTGTGGCTACCCTAACTGTACTTAATTATCAGAAGGGTAATATTTTTATTAATTAAGCATTTTGTTCACCGCTAACTTCAATATTGTTACATTGCCCTCTATACGAATGGCGTGCATGTATTCAAGTAAGAAGTGTAATGGTGTTAGTAGTTATTTTCCCTCCAGATTGGTATTTTCGTGAACTAGGTCATCTTTTAAGAGCTTGGCACTGTTGTTCTTGTACGAAAACTTTTGTGTTCTGGTCAACTACTTTTACCTGACAAATTTTACACTATATGCTGATCATTTTGATATTTCAGTCGAAGATGTCTTTAATTTTTCCCAGGAATCAGTCAAAATGACAATTTAGTTTTGATACAGTTTAATTTTTTGAGTTTCTTTTCTTTTGCCGACGTCAGGTGACGCATTATGTAGATAACTAGCCCTTTTGTCAGCCAATCAGAACTAATTGTCTGGTAGATCTTAAAATAGAGTAATAATTACAGTAATGGACACATACAATTACTATTTTTACATAGAAGTAAATTGTGAAAGAGTAATTACTTTGAAATAAACTGGAGAATAACGAACGATGTTGCTTTCTTTGACAAACGTGTATGTTACATTTCGAAGGAAATGGACATAAATATTACTTGAAAAAGTCCCATTAACCACAATATCTGATAACCTTTCGCTCTCGATTTCGAAGAGGTGGTGGTTGGCGCTCGGCCTCGCCAGTTATGAAACGTCCTTCATGTAACGATATCTCGACGACAAGTGGTGAGTGAGAAACAGTATTCTAATCTTCACGCCTAGAAAAACTGCGCGGACTGAAGAGTCTTCTGAGCATGATACAACAGCTAGACAATGTCAAGTAATTAATTTGCATTCAATATAATTTAATCGTTTCTGCTCTATCATGAGCGATGAGACCCACATGTGACTTTTCTCCATCTTGCTATCGATACAATTGTACGAAATTCGTTGTTCTAGTCCATCGTAATCATCTCGGGAACTGTATACAAACCAAACACTCCTAGAAATAGTTTACTTCAGCATCCGCCGGGTTGGGGGAGGGGGGAACTCCCATAAGAAAAAAACAGGGATGCCCGTCGGAAAATTTAAATTAAACCCCTAAAGGAGACTCAATCTGGGGGTGGCTCTAGTTTCACTTGACCCCTTTTTAAGCTACCGGTTAAAACGACATAGGCCTGATTACCAGCCTAAAAGATACTTAGACAGCTTCAAAAGTCGCGTTTTGTCATGATCACTCTAAGTGAGAACAAAGCCCTTGATTTACACCCCTAAGGGACAAGCAGTCCCGAGCAAATAGACTTTTTGTTGACCGTTCCTGACGGAACCTGTTTTTATCATTGACATCATTGCGAGTAAACGTTACGTTCGCGCTAATTGTTTCTGCGCATCCTTACTGCGCACGCAAATTCACACGGTACGTTATGCATCGAGCGTGCGCTAAG